TTGGTTTTTGTTGTAGTGATAGACTTTTACACACAAGGAGGCACCATGAGGGGAGTACTTCTTGACCCTAGACCCCAAGGGAATTGGAATTTTGCTTAGTTGTTGTAGTACTCAGTGATGACGGTAGTAGTTGGGGTGACCGGAAGTGGATGAAATGGTTCACGATGGGGGTGGTTGATAGAGTTGGTCAAGGGTTAAAGAAAAGATGCTTTGATTTGTCAATTGGGAAAAAATAACACCTTTCAATCAAATTTATAAAAATTCATTGGTTTCTCACTCCAAGTCTATCTACCATTTGCAACTTAAAAAAAAGGCTATACATAGCATATACAACCATAGGCGCAATGGAATCCATAGATTTGGACTCCTCATCCTTCCCATAAGAAAAAAAAATGAAACCAAAATGGAAAAGTACCTCCGGATTAATCATGTCAATTATTTGGCACAAAATATCCTCAAAAAGTACCGGCTCTTGGGACATGCATTCCATTCGGTGCAACTGCTCCTCGTAAAAGAATTGCATTTCATTCTTCGTCAGAACCCCATTTCCGTCCAAATCTATGCATTTGAACCTGATCCAGATAGTAAAAATGTTACACCAAAACTTGCACAAGATTTAACAACAAAACCTAGTATAATCCCAACTCAACTGGGGTCTAGGGGACAAGAAGTACAAAGCCTTACCAATAGAGTGCAAGTTTCCGTTAGACCCTTAAAAGTTGTTCAAGAAATTGTGTTTCTAATTGGCTCGTAGTTTTTATCAATATAAATCTAGGTTCCCATTATTTACTATTTGCACTCTAGTTGTTTCAAAGGCAAAAGATAAAGCAACACCCTCTTTCATTTCTCACTCTCAGTCTACTTCAATCCAGTTCTGCAACAACTAAGACGAATGATGGCTTTAAATTTTCACTGAAGCTACAACTCACTTCCATTAACAAGAACACCTACCAGTACTCAAGACTAGGCTCAGATGACTTATCCTCCTCTGACAATATGAAGTAAACAAAATCTTCATAACCCATCTTTCCTTCAATCTTACTGCTGAACTTTCTCGGAACCTTGTAAATAAGTATTAAGAAAACATGTAAAAACATGACATCCTCAGAGGGGTAAATGAATCAAAACTAAAAGCAATATAGTAGAATTACAAACCTGAGAAAATATCCTCTCAACAATCCGATATGTAAGTGCATGGTTACCATATCTAATAAGGTTCTCTTTATCAATGACGAAATCATGATCTGTATCCAGCTCCCAAAACTTACAATATATCACATAGAAGTGTTCGTAAGATAAGTACCTGCATATAGAACGCAACATAAAAAAATTAAACTGAATTATGCATGTACATCCACAGTACAATAGGTTAAGTGCAAGGGAAATAAAAACACTTTGCACACAATTTGTGTCATCAATCATCATTGACTCATTGTTAATAAAAGAAATGGAAAACTGAAGCAGAAAATCAAATAATGGGAGCAAGAATGTGCAAAGGAAATAAAAACAATTTCCACCTCAAGACCTTGTTGATATCTTCTTCTTCATCTGCATGCTGCAATGCAGAAATTAGATCTGAATGTTTCAGCTCCTTGAGGGTAAGCCGTCCATTACCAGATCTGTTTACGTAGTAAAAAATTCTGTATGTAACAGTTTCAGCTGGCAGCAATAAAAATAACTGTAAGGACACAGCAAAGAAAATGAGTACTTGATTAAAGTCACAAAAAAGGACAGAAAATGTAAAAGATCTTCCCAAAAGTGTTGCTAATACTGCCATAATTTCTTAAGACAACTTATGTGAAGAAAAGAAACAAAATTGGGGACAATTGTTTGGTATTGGATGCTTCAGGAAGTATCTCTATTTTTACAAGAAAATTGCATCAGCTATCACAACCATCGAAAAGGGAAGATGATTATCATACCAATTGAAAATTAAAAAATAAATGAGCAAGAAGCTATACCATATCTTTCTTGAAATTCAGGTGTACCCTGTAGAAACTCCAACCCTGGATGAGTTGCTAAAATTTCTTTAAGCACGGGTTTGAAGTCTACCTGCAATCAATTCGTTCAATTACGTCAAATAAACATACATATAATTGATCAGCCCAATATAAGAACTCTTGCAGGCTCGCCTATTAACAGTCACAAGAACATAGCAAAATGGTTTTTGAGGGCAGATGAACTTAAATCTTTTGTTATAAAAAGAACCTGCGTTAGATATTTTAGATCTGGCTGCTTCAAGATTGTGAATATTTGAGTTGCTATATCTTTAGTCAACATACTTCCATTAATCCAGTAATCAATGAAAGCATCCCTGAGAGCAAAAAGGAAAGGAAAAGGTGTTGACTTAAAAACATCATAGATTTATAGATTATGAGAAGAATAAACTACTCACTGTAACAAAAGTTAACTACATTTAATAAAGAAAACAAATTTACCTAGTCAAAACCCCAGTGCCGCTACTGTCGATCTTCATAAAAAGAGCAGTAGAGAAGAATGATGGTATCTTGCAAATTTCCTTAGTTATCAGCTTAAATTCTAACAGGCAATGAAAATCAAGTTACGAAATGGACATGTACAACAGTCATCATGCATTGCGTGAAAATGTAAAAGAAGACACCATAAATAACAAATTCTCTGTAATAAAGATGCTTCTATGTGTGTATCTCGTATCAATTTACTTTAAGTAAATAAATACATAAGTCTGGCATCCAGACCATAACCCAAACTTTTAAAAGTGAAAAGCATAGTTGTAAAAGGCTATTAAGGCTTACACTTTTGAGGCTCACCTCAAGGCGAAACTATATAATATCATCTTGAGGCTTCCACATCTCCACATCATGGAGAAGCTTACTCCTCTCATGCAAATGGGTCTTATGCTTATAAGCATAAGCCTCGTGAGGCATATGAGACTTACACTGTTACACATCTAATACCATCATTAACATGCAAAGATGGACCGTTGCACCTTTACTAATTTTAACTTAAGAAAATTTATTTTTTGTTAAAAAACTCGGGATACATTTGGAAAAAAAATCAAAAAACCCTTAAAAATGTATTGTTTGTTCTCTATTCTACTAAATTATTTAAAACTAGTAGCAGCCAACTTTCTTCTCTATGAACTTCTTGCCCATCCTTGCTTCCATGTTAAAGAAATTACTTAAATGATTTTTTAATAAATTTTAAAAAATACCTGAATATATTTTTATTGTGAGTAAGTCGTTTAGTTTATAAATTTCTTTTTTCTTAACATTCTAGTTTGAATTTTATAAGAACTATAACCGTATACATGTGAAGCTTTAACCTTGAGTTTTCTATAGGCTTGCATTAGTTGCATCATGTGAGGCCATGATGCTAAAGCAAAAACCAAACTATGCGATGCAGACTTTTTAGGGAAGATGCTAAAATATTATAAAAACTATTAGTAGCTCATACTTATACAAAACTATCATCACACAAAGCCATACCATCTTTTAATCATCTCAATAATCAATCATGTGTGAATGTGTGATGTATATTTTCTTTCATCTTTTTGAGATACCGTGTGTGATGTGCAAAACAAGAACACTACGTTAAGTTTTTTGGTTGAAGTTTTGTTGGATGTTGACTAAAGCTTTTGTGAGAGGCGTGGAAAAAGCGGCTGAGCATAGGCTGCATAGCTCGCTTGACCTTCGTCATGCACGCTTTTTAGAAGTCAACAGCAACTCGTCTTGCATTATTCAAATTCTAAGGTGATCTTTCTCTAAGTTAAATTCGTGAATATGAAAAGTCCATAGCTCTTATTCATTGAATAAAGCCTCAACAGTGATTCAAAAGGCAACAAAGTAGGGTCACCCAAAAAAAGCTGGCTTGAAGACATAAGGGGAATGGAAAAAATCTTACCTTGCATTGGTATTCCATCCGTATGACCATAGAAAAACTGATTGATTCTAAACAAACACCGTTCCTTCAATTCATTCGGAGGTGGACAGCCATTTTGAAAGTAGAACTGCCATCACAGCAAATATTTATTATTTAACAAAATAAATGCAGTTAAGAAGAAATAATGAATGAAAAGACAATTATCAACCTGTGGAATCGTCTCTTTAACTGGTTCCTTCATTAATTTCAGAGGAGAACCAAATTGAGAAGGCCCTGCCCTCTGCTTCACAGTTCTGGGTGAGCCAGAAGAGCTTCGAGGTGAAAGTGGAGGTGCACTGCCAGCAGGAAACATGGAGGGCAAAGAGTTGCTTGTGGCAGAACTACTGCTTGAAGAAATTGATGTAACATTAAAGGGACCGGCCCCTTTGGCATTACTGACTAATGATTTTACCTGCATGTGACATCAACAACTAACCAAGTGAGAATCCCGCCGACTGGAAAGGGTAAGTGTATGCAGATTGTGCCCCTACATGGAGAGTAAAGAGGCTGGTTCTAAGAAACCCCTGGCTCAAAACAAAATGAACACATAGAAGGATAGAACAAACAAGTAGAGTAAATAGAAAAGGGGTAGGAGCACTAAGGAAGTAAGCGCGCGCATAAATACAAAAATGAAAGCACGGAGTCCTACACAAATGTAGAGCACTGCCGAGAGCCTACCTGACCACCCTAATCACCGACCACCCCCGCTCCTATATAAGGTCATATCCTTGGTTAGCTACGGAAGACGTAAGTAATATCTAATCATCTCACACCATATCTTCTTAGGTCTAACTCTACCCTCACGTCCCCTACCTCCAACCTCTTGCACATCCTCACCGGAGTGCCCAAATCATTTCAATCTAATCACAAGGAACTTATCCTCCAATGAAACCACCTCCACCTTCTCTCAAATTATTTCATTCTGGACCTTATCCATCTTTGTAAACTTGCACATCTGTCTCAGCATCCTCATCTATGCCACTTGGAGCATACCAACATGAGTGTTCTTCAAATCCAATCCAAAGCAAACTTTGTATTGACTTCAAATGTGTGCTAAGTCAAATACAATGTTACGGTCTGAAAAAATACGTAGATGAAAAAATATGTAGTTGAAGGACCTTAGATCCAGTGCAGCACCGTTTCCATTCATTGGCAACACCTAGTGACTTTTTACACTGTTCACATGAGAGAGCCCAACATTTACAATTGTTGAGAATAGGTCCTTTTTCACGTCATTTTTATCTTTTTAACTTCATCATGTGATGACTCCGATAAATAATTTCACCCCATCAATTCATTGATCAGCAAACATAAGTTACACAACCATCCAAATACCACCCCCCCCCAAATGTTGTTGGTCTTTATACTGAATCATGTTGCGTCATTATACCTACAGAAGCAACTTTCAGTTTTTGTACTCTAGACACTGTCGATTATTACCTATAGAAGTTGATTGTCTATTCTCTTGGTGATACAAGATTTATGGAATCCTTGTCCGTTTCCTTGCAAGCAAAGAATCAGTCTTAGAGACATAAAGATTGTAACCTTGATTAGCAATTAATAGAACCCGAATTGTGTTCGTAATTACCAAATAACAAAGAGCAAATTTTGTTTGTGTTATTTGTTTGAATTGCATATTGCTAGGTTTGAACGATGATGTAGAGTACAATTTTTTTATTTGTCAATGTGAATTTATAACATGTAGATCGCAATGCAACTTATAAGAAAAATAGTGCAATACTTCTTTAATAGTGCAATACTCCCTCCGTCCCAAAGTAAACTTCCCACTTTCCTTTCTTAGTAGTCCCAAAATAAACTTCAAATTCCTTTTATGGAATGGATTGGATGGTCCATGTTAATCTCTCACCTCTACATAAATCTCAACCAAAGATTTTCACCTTTCTTAATCTACGTTAAAGTCAAACCAAAAAATTAATTTTGGGAGGGATGAAGTATTTAAATCTTTGTAAATAAAATACATGTTTTATAAACAGCATAGAAAGTGCTACTAAACATGGAAAAAATCAATCTAAACTATTAAATTGTATAGAAAGTGATTGAAACAAATCTTAAAAAATACTTACCTAATTTGTACTTTGGAAATAGTTAAAAAGCTTATTAATTTACCTTAATATGATTTTTAGTTACTTGCCTACTTGTAATTTGAAAGGTTTTGTAAGCTTTCTCGGTTGTTCTTTTGTAGAGTAATAATATGAGGAATACTATTCTGCTAATGAAATTTGGGGTTAGAGGCTCTCTTGCAAATCCTCAATTCTTTTAGTTTTGGTCTCTTTCCTTTGGTCCATCTTCACAAAAGAGAATGTCATGTTTCCGAACCACAACGGGCATTTCATCGACATCGGCCGACAAAATATCACGTGAAACAAATTCCATCATTGAATTGACCAGGTATCCAGTGTTTCATGGCATAGAAAGCATGTCTACATTACACATATTTTCACATGGTTTTGGGTGAGCGGAAATGTAATTTTGGTGGCTTGATGTCATACACAAAACCAAGTAGCAGATGTCTTTACCACGAATTGAAGATTGAGTCTTTTGCTAAAATGGAAGATGAGCCTCATAATAGCACGTTAAGCTTAGTTTGCTCCTTACTTTCTACGGAGTATTAAGTTTTGAGTAGTAAACGTATCAAATTTCAAATAGAAACAACCTCTTGGTTTACCAGGGGTAAGGTTGTGTACATCTAAAGGTGTGTTTGTTGAGGAAAAGAGATGGGTTTTGATACCGCCAGATATCAAAATCCTTTTTTGGTGTTTGGTGAAACCAAAAGAGATATCGAGTTTAATATCTCTAGATATCATTAATCTTTCAAATGGAGGGTTTTGATATCTCCTAAATTTGGGAGAAATCGATATGGGGGTTTGATATCTCTTCCAAAATCCAACCGTTGGCCATTCTCCACCACCAACTACCATTGTCACTGCCAACCACCCCCGCCTATCAATAATTAAATCATGATAATTTCATGTTCAATAAGGTGAACAAAGCAAATTTCAGGGAGAATAGATAATTTATTGTGATTTATGTTTCCTATAAGTGGTTACCGATTTTATGTTGGAACAATTTAGGCGTAAAGATGATAGGACTCAAGTTGGCTTAAGTAAACATAATCAGAACCATATCGGGATTCAAGTTCGCTTAAATATTTACATCGTGCCCTTGTAGTTTTTTGGTTTCCATCTTGTTTTTCCCATATAGAGACCCCGGAATAGCAATGTGAGGTGTGACATTCCAATGAACCAAATACACAGAATTAAAGATTACTTGATCTTCCCACCAAAGTTTCATTCTTTGTTTCTGATGGATGGCTTTCCAAAATCCACCATGGTCCATCCTGATAGCTTCACTCTATACCCCAAATTAATAACTCACTCTTCTACTTTCTATCATTGCATTTCTGATTCCTTTAGGGTAAACTATGTGTTTAACAAACACCAATACTGAGATAGGTATGCTCTGGATGCAGTCCAAAACACTGTTATCTCCCCTTATTCCTACTACAATTCAACTAGCACCTCTATTACTGCCAACAAATTAAGAGCAACCATAACAGAATCAAGTAAAAAATCGATCCATTCCTGAGCACATCATGTAATTAAAGAAAATACCAGTGCAGCCGTATCAGGCAGCGAGAGCCACCGATCAAAGAGCATCTCCACGACATAAGAATTCGTTTTGACGGCCGATGGGGACAGCTCCGGCAGCTGCAATAGCTCGGTGTCCAAGCGGGCAACATCGCCAGTAAAATCCACATCCATCACCTCCGCAAACCAGAATCAACACGCACCAAATGCTCAGATCGCCGGATTCTTCCTCTATAATTCGAGTAACCCTAACCACCGCCTCTTTCACGCCATGATAACTCAAACTTTAAATCGGAAGACGGGCAGTTCTGTTCCAAATCTTCGAACGGATCTTGTCTCGAATTTGGGTCAATCGGCAGGGATGGGTAATCCTCTTTGGGATTCAAATTAATAATTTTATGTTCTGTGTCTTGAGATCGGAGATGGGAATATACAGAGAGAAAAGATCGGCGAACCCGTTGCAACTGCAAGTGCGATTGTGTAAGAGAGAATATGGAGTGAATGTAATTTTTCTTCTTTTTTTTTACTACGAAGGAGATTGGATCAAAGCTACGGGTCATAATTCGGGTTGGGAGAAAATCATATATTCCTTTATCCCAATTTAAACGATGTTTGATTAAAATTATTTTCAAATTATTTTATATGAAAATTAGCGTAGACTTAAAAATTAAAATTTACATATATAAAAGCCACATCAAAAGATTTACAAAACTAGTGGTGAATGGTGATATAATTATATTATTTTTTCAAATGACTAACGAGAATAAAAAAGAAAATGAATGAAGTTTAACCATGTAAATGGTAAACAGATAATTTAATTTGAGACGGAGGAAATATTATTTTGTTGAACTTTAGATATAGTTGTTAAACATCTAACTTTTTATCTATATCAATTTGTAAATGAATTAAAAGTAAATTCCATAAAAGGTGCTCAGTTATAGGTCGTTTTACATATGTAGTCCCTACATATTAAATATCAATAACTTAGTCTCCAATTATTATATTATTTTTCATAAATAATCCTTTGTTAACATTTCTGTTAAGAATATGGATAAAATTATATATTCACACTCCTCTCTCTTCGGTTAAGCTTTTTCCCTCCTCTCGTACTCATTCTCAAATCCGTCTCTGAGTTTGAAGCTCTAAACCCAAAACCGAAACGATCACTTCTCTCTTAATTGTTCCTCTTCTTGGTGGAACCCAAAATCTAAACCAATAACCCTCATGGATGAATTTTATGGGTTAGTCTCAAAAAATTGCAAAAAAAAAATAAACCTTAAAACTCATTCATGAAAGTTACTGTCTTATTGGTTTTGATTTTGGATTCTACCAGGAAGACGAAGAATTGAGAGAGGTGGAATGATTTCGGTTTTGGGTTCAAAGCTTAAAACTCAGCGACGGGTTTGGGAAAGGAATGCGAGAGGAGATAGGAAGCTTAATTGAGGAGAGAGAGAAGCGTAGATTTACAATTTTTTTCACGTTTTTAACGGAAATGTTAACAAAAGACTATTTGTGGAAAATAATATAATAATTGGGAACTAAATTATTTATATTTGATATGTAGGGACTAAATATATAAAACGAACTACTCTGTATGGACTTTTAAAAGAATTTACTAATGAATTAATATTAGAGTGAGGAGGACTACACTGTTGGGAAAAACTCACCTATTCAAGGCTGGAAAAACTTCGGGCGTGACAGAATTGAAGGGATCGATGATGACGACGGCGACGGCGACCATGGAAGGCGTTGTGTTCAGACTGCCCCATCTCAGAACTGCAACTCGGAACCCTACTTTCTGCTCTCGGAGCTCCGTATCCGTACATCGGTTCCGCTCCTTGTCGTTTGCGGCGTCTGCAGCTTCGCCTTCTCCGGCGGTCTGCGAGCAGAAACCCGAACCAGCTTCTCTTGGACACATCACCCGCGTCGACTTTCCCATCCTCCATCAGGTTATTCATATCTTCTTATTGTAAAAGTCTTGGTATAGGATTAGCAGAGGCTGTTTAGCTCGTGAATGTGAGGATTGAGTCGTTGGAATTGGATAAATTCCTTTCCAAGTTCTGAAGTAATCCTTCTAATTTTATCCAAACACGATCTAATTTATGTCCCATTGCTTCTGGAGTCGACCCTGTTAACAATTCTAGAGTAGAAATTTAAAAAGGTTCCACCTTTGATGACATGCTGATTAATTTTGATTTTAGATTATGGGTCGGATAGAGACCTAGTATGAAACAAAATTACTTCCTTAAAAGTAAACTCGAACCCTATTCTAGGACGAAAAAGGAAAGATGGAACTTTTTAAGGAGAAATGAACTAATTAAGTATATAAAGAACTATGATAAGCTCTATCATGACTATGATGAAGCATCATATGTTCTGTTCCGCTTCCAATACATTCTTCTTATAAATGCAGGAGGTAAATGGCTCCAAGCTTGTGTATTTAGACAATGCAGCAACATCACAAAAGCCAAAAGATGTCTTGAAGGCATTACAAACATATTATGAAGCTTACAATTCCAATGTTCACCGTGGTATTCATTACTTAAGGTGGTCGTCTAGCAAGACCATTGTCTTAGTTTTTTTTCACACCATTTTTGTTTAGTGCATTCATTAGGGTAGTGGCGGAGTTTATACTCATATATTTGTGGCACACATGCATAATGGTAGTGCAAAGGCAACAGATGAGTATGAATTAGCAAGACAAAAGGTGGCAAATTTCATCAATGCATCTGACTCAACAGAGATTGTGTTCACAAGAAATGCTACTGAAGCTATTAACTTAGTGGCTTACTCTTGGGGGCTGTCAAATTTCAAACCTGGAGACGAGGTCGGTTTACATCCATATTTATATTAATAGAAATTAAATTAAAATTTTCAATTACAAGTTCATTGAAGATCTGATTCATTTTCTTACTAATTGTCAAGAAAGACCACTTCACATTTATTGTTTGTAGATATCATCCTTATGATCCATTCACGTGGAACCCATACCATGCAAACAGTAATGAATATAATGATCTTGAGACATGAGTGGATATTTTATGAGGAATATCATCAACTTGATTTTTTTCCCCATTGAATAACTAAAAGTATTTGTTGAATTCATTCTGAATATGTACAGAAAAGAGTACAAGTCAGATGTTTTCTCTTGTATACAAGTGATTCAAACATGTGAGTTAAATGGTAAACATTGAGGAATGTAACTTTTAGTCTCATGAACAGTGCTACTAATGGAGAATGACCGAATGACCAAAAATTTAACATTTGACACAAAATCTGCCATGCTATTCGGATATGTCATCATCACTCTTCAGAAAAGTAGATAAATATGGCATTAACATTGGTGTATTATCTGGCTGCTCAGTGTTAAATATCTTTAGTATTACTTGTGTATCTTTTAGCAACATAAGGTACTGAACGTTTGCAGGTAATTCTTACTATAGCTGAGCATCACAGTGCAATAGTACCTTGGCAATTGATTGCTCAGAAGACCGGTGTTATCCTAAAATTTGTGAGTTTGACCGACAATGAAGTTCCAGATGTAATGGAGTTGAAAGAAATGATCTCAAGGAAGACCAAACTTATTTGTATCCATCACATCTCCAATATGCTAGGTATGTGAGTGCTCTGTTTGTTTTCTACATAGGCTAGGGTCTGTGTACACCCACCCACCCAGATCTCACTTGTGGATTTAAGGGGTATGTTGTTGAAAGTGAGTACTTTGTATTTTATTTAGAAGTAGATAAGGAAAAAAAATTCTATGTAATGGAACATCTAAGAGGCCTTCTATTCATAAGGAAGAAGCTAGGTGCCTATTTTTTGCTTCATACATGGTGATGCAGGTAGTGACTTCGTTAATATGCCAAATGAAGTCAGTGATAGCACAGTATATAGCTTCCAAGAAGCTCCTCCTCAGATGCATCAAGCAAACTGTTGTATATAACTTTTTTGGTTTTAATGTTGCACATCACCTGCTGTTATGGTCACAGAATAAACTGCATGTTATGGGTCAATGTGAAATAGAAGAAGAATTATTTGTGGCATAGGGGTTGGGAATTGTGCAAAAGGAAATGAATGGCAGAGAGGGAGAGGAAGACAAATTTTTCCAAGAATACTTCTCTTTATTCAATTTCAGCTTCTCTTCCAATCATATTATTCTTCACTTTATAATGGATTTACAGTTGTAATTAATAAGGAAAGACAATCACTGCCATAATTGGGAAATTCTTATTGATGCAAATTGAAATAAAATAAGAAAGCCATTCTAAATTTCAAATGAGTCATTCTTATTTTAGGCCATTGATTTAATAGATGACTCCTGACGCTTCCAGAAATTGGTCATCTGGGATGAGTGTGTTCTTATCACTTGCCTAGTGCCTTCAGATGAAAGACATTTGAACCCTTGTTTAGACTTCATGTGCTACATTTTGGGGGACACACACATACACAAAAGATACATGCATACCACACACACACACAAGATACAAGCATACTACACACACACCCAGTGTGTGTGTGTATCAAACAGGGAGACCATATGGCTTATGCATACCCGTGACCAGTCCATGTTGACAATGTGTGTGAATATTTTTGGTGAGTTGTCCAATATGTGTTTACTAGCTTCATTTCTGTCTTTTTTAGCATGCCAAATTTGAGCTTGCTTATTTTTGGTTGACCTGAGCTCACTATTTAAGTAATTCTGTCCCCAAAAAGAGTCATATTTGACCACTGTACAACTCTTTTGTTTCAGTAAGGTATAAGACTACAAGTGTACAACAATCATATATCACGAATGATACTAATATTTTTAAAAATCCATTTGTCCTTTTACTACATTTATCATGTGCAACTTCTCTGAGATTCTTGACAATTTCAGCCAAATTACATGAAAATTTATGTTTGTTTGATCAGAGTGCTCTTTCCACAAAAAGACAATTGAAACAAGACTTCTCAATTTTTTGGGGTGGGTGGGGCAGGGGGGGGGTGGACAGTGGGAAAATATAATTGCTTGCATGCTTTTCGGGACAGTGGGAAAATATAACTGCTTGCATGCTTTTCTGCCTTTTTCATAAATCAAGGTTGTCGGTTTGCCACAACTTGCCCTTCCATTGTCATCTATGCAGCTTCCTTGCTTCCAGTTGAAGAAATCATAAGTTGGGGACGGCGCGTTGGAGCAAAAGTGCTTGTGGATGCTTGCCAAAGTGTACCACACATGGTAGTTGACGTTAAAAACCTTGATGCTGATTTTCTTGTTGCTTCATCTCATAAGGTGAGATCTTTGTCCTTCACCTCAACATCTAACATTTCAATAACCTATTTGGATTGAAGGGCTAATCATGCTTCAGATGTGCGGGCCCACAGGCATTGGATTCTTGCATGGTAAGAGTGAGCTCTTGAGCTCGATGCCTCCTTTCATGGGTATGTATTCTTATATGTCTAGTTCTACTCTGCATTTCCATACCATTTGTCCCCAAGAATCTAGATTGGAATATTATGTACTTAAGTGTGCACTTTCAAATTTTCTCGAGTACAGGAGGTGGTGAAATGATAGCTGATGTGTTTTTGGATCATTCAACTTTTGCTGATCCACCTTTCAGGTAGGTGTCTTGCATTATATTCACCAGGAATGCCCTGAAGTTTCAAAGTTCTTTTTGCCTCTCTTTCTCTCACTCACAAATTGATGATCAGATTTGAGGCAGGAACACCTGCAATTGGAGAAGCTATCGGGCTGGGAGCAGCGATTGACTATCTGTCTGGAATTGGCATGCAACGAATCCATGGTTATGAGGTATTCCCATTTCCTGGGATGTGTTAAGTGTCATTATTCCCATTACATATCAATGATTTTTCTTCCTATCATATCACTTCTCAGGTGGAGCTAGGACGCTATCTATATGATAGCCTCTCTTCAGTACCCGGTGTTCGTATATACGGTCCTGCACCTTCACAAACTGTAAAACGGGCAGCTCTTTGTTCTTTTAACATTGAGGGCGTTCACCCAACGGATATCGCAACTTACATTGATCAACAGGTATACAACACCACTATACTTCCGATAGGGGTTTCTAGAGACCATTAGGTTGTAGAGTCCTTGCCGGGACCATGTGTAAGTGCTATAATCAAATTTCCATCCCACTCTGTTTAAAAGTTACTCCCTATGTCCCACTACATGTCTTTTTTTTTTAATCTTTTTTTACTATCGCACTATTTTTGTCCGACACCATACTACAACAAACAAACCCAGTAAAATCCCACAAGTGTAGGGTCTGGGTACCTTACCTCTACTTCGAAGTAGAGAGCTTTTGTGCCACATCATATTTGTGTGGTTTACATTTCATTCACGCTTTATATTTTTAATATCGATATCAACCACACGATCCTACTTTTCTTGATTCTCATGTCACTTCCCTATGTCCCAAAAATAGTGTGACAGCTTTGTCGGGAATTTTTTCAGAAAAAACATATACTTTTTCGCATTACTTGTCCCCAATCCCTAGCCTCGGATTGGGTTTACTAGATCTGTTTTATTTGGTAGGTCTCATTTCTTCTTTCTTTGAGCATTAATAACTCTATTTCAATGTAGTGTCTATTCATACATTCTCAACCCATCAAAGCACATAAGGTCTTTGGCATAGGGTCTCATTTCTAATATTAGAAGCAACACTACAAACCCCATTTTACCCCTTCGTTCCCACTAACAACTCTGCAATGTGCAGCACGGCGTGGCGATCAGATCGGGTCACCACTGTGCTCAGCCTCTACACAGCTATTTGGGAATCAATGCGAGTGCACGTGCCAGCCTTCATTTCTACAATACTAAGGAGGACGTCGATCACTTCATCTCTGCACTCAAGGACGCAATCGCCTTCTTCAATTCGTGGCGATGATCCGGTTTACCTACCACTTGGTGATGGTGTTTCTATGTTGTTCACACATGACAAAAATAAATACAAATGAATAATGCACCAGAGGAAATCTATGGAGTTGGCAATTGAGTGGAAATAGTCATTTTCTCTCTTATCTCTTGCATCTTGTAAATCTCCTTTATTTAATTTTAAACAGAAATTGTGCTCAGGGTCATAAGCATTTCCAAGTAAATACTTCCCAATCCGAAAATATAGTATCAATCGATTTCACGGAAATTAAAAAAAGTTGAGAAATAAAATGTGTTTGGAATTTGTTTAAAACAAAGGTAAGTTAGGAAGCCACATATTTTTTATCCTAGTTTATTACAAAAGTAAAAACATGTGAAGATTGATTTGGGATCACAAAAGACAGGTGTTGCCATTATTAGTAACATAAACATCTCCCAATTCTCCAAACATAGGTGGTATTTGGAAAAAGTTTCACTATAAATTGCATGTTTACTATAAATTGCATGAAGTACGAAGTACTTGATACTCCGTATTAAATTGTTAAATTTTAACCATTTTTACTCATTTGATAAGTAATATGGTCATGTTAGGTCTTGTTTTGTATAGCTTTTAATGTGATTTCTAAATATGTATATAATTTTTACTTTTTATTTTATCCTAAATAAATAAATTAAGAAATAATTTCAATTAAAGATCAAAAACAAGAGACAATTTATAGAGAGAATTAGTGTCATAATATTTGCTAGCATTTGATAAACCTCCATTGGTAGAACATTAGTCATTTTCTATGCATATTATATTTCAAGTGAAGAAATTCCTTATGAAGAATTTCCTCATTGTCCGCTACAATGTTTTTTTCACTGTGTGTCATAGTTTTTTCCTATTTCTTTTGGCACCGACCGTCACAATTTTTTATGGGTTGATATCCCACCCTCTTTTAACTCTAGGTTACTAAATTCTACGGAGTAATTTGGATACTACCTCCGCCCCAAAATTACCCGGTATCTAATCGTGTGAATATGCAATGTAATTTTTATGTTATTCATAATTGAAGCTCATCCAATTTGTCTAAAAGATCAAACTGAATAAGAGACAGGGATAGTAATACTCAGAGCATTGGTCGTTGAAAGGAGAAGTGTGTAGTTATTTTGAGACGGATGAAGAAAACACTACATTAAAGGGATAATTAGATACAAGGAGTAACATAAAATCATCTCTGCACATCAGCTTGGTTTTGAATCTCACACATTATTACATTCACTTGTGCAACAAGCTCTTCTTCGACATCTTGGCCTTCTTCGTAGTCCGGTTCTGTCAAAACACAATATCACACACACACACACAAAAGACAGCAAAACAATGTCAGATCCTTAATTTGAAGTATATCCAAAAGTATATAATGTTAAGGAGAAGTTAAATAAATGTTCTAACCTTTTGCCTCTCTATAGCTTCGTAGTCGATCCTATCTTGCCACCTACTCTTCCGAAGTTTGATTGGTCGATTACCAACATATTTGCCTAAAATCAGAATATCACATTAAGAAAGAGTTAGGCCCTTGCTCGCTTGGGATTTCATAGGGAAGGTGGGTGATGAACTCAACTTACCATTCATTTCTTTAAGGGCTGCCACAAGGTCTGAAGGGTTGGAAAAACTTACAAATCCATAGCCTTTAGTTTTACCTGTCCACTTGTCTCACACAACCTGTGAAGATATTGCACACACAATCATCAAGAATTGTTTTAAAAAGAAACATTTAACCACATTTTTTGACTCTATGGAGCTAGGATGTTTTTTTTTGGGGGGGGNGTGATTATGAAAACAATCCGGACCGTTAGATGTACATACACATGAGAGCCTGGGAAACTATGGCAAACTTACTGAAACTAAATAGATACATAAATAAATAAATAAATAAATAAATAAAAATAAATAAATAAATAAATAAATACATAAAGAAATAAATAATGATACCAAAAATACGTATGTATTTACACTAAAATTCGATAAGGTATGGCATAAAATGCACAACATGTATAAGCACATTCAACATCCACCACAATCATTCCATCAGTTCATGAACCCGTTTACTAAATTGGAAGATAGCTAGCTAGTACTGTTCCAATTCAATTCCGAAGGAGAGAGGTACAATTGTCATCCGCATTCACTTTTACAAAGAAAAAAGGCATGAGTAGCACTGCTAAAATGAAAACAAAATAGATTTCTACCTTGACAGACAAGAGACATATGAGGGCTCCAAGCACTTGGAACAAAAATCTGAAGGGATACACAAATGTTCATATATACCATTTAAGAAAACAAGTCCAGTAAGTTATCATATGAATGACTTCCATGAAACTTACCCTGGCCATGTTACATAAACAGACTTTGAACTACTTAAAGCTTTCCTTATAGCTTATAAAAAACACATGTGAACTCATCTAATTCAGAAGTGCTTTGATCATCAACATATGAAGTTGTAACCTTTCCAGATATCCATAATACTCCGTAATACGGTAAGATGAGTTCATGTTACCTACAGTCCTACACTAGTAAATACCGCAAGAAATTGCCATGTTAGGATGAAGAGTCGAAGAGAGTAAGAGACATAGCTAGTTTCAATCGAAGACTTATTGTTCAATGATCATCCTACTAAACAACATATTACTCAGTAAAACATATTCAGAGTTCCAGTGGTGCAATGAAATGAAGTTAAAAAATACATACTTTCTGGCCAATCAGCAAGAGTAGGATCCTCCCAAGTTTGTCCAGCAGCTTTACGAGGCACTGCTTTCTTCTTAGCATCAGCTTTGTGCTCAATCTCACTGCTTGCAAGTGCAGCTTTCACATTCTCAATTGCTTCTGGAGTAATTATTTGTGCAACCCTTTGAAACAGTTGATTTGCCTGTAATCTAAATCATTGAGATTGGTCACATAGATAATAACATTAAGAAATTGAATCTGCTTGTGATTGGTCACATAGATAATCGCTATAAGAAATCATTAAAAAAATAATCAAAAAACATTCTTCTCATCTAATACTTGGTAATTTGAATGCTTACTTGTTGCCTTGTTGGTATTGAGCAAATGAGCTAGCAGGAGCTAGATATCCGGCGGGAATGCCTGAAGGAACAGACGCTTGAACCTGGGGAAGGGCCGCGCCGATGTAGGGTTGCGGCGTTTGCTGTTGAAGGTGAAACGGCGTCGGAAAATAGGTCCCTTTGGGGTACGTGTACCGCGACAACGAAGATTCCGGCGCCGGCGAAACCGTCGACATGGCGGAGGCGGACGATGAGTTCTCGATCGCGGCGACGTGCGATTAGAATCGATTAACTGACGATAGATTAGAATCGATAAATTTTTGCTGTTGAAGGAAGAACCCACGAAGAAAAAGGCGAAGATTGTAGGGATTTCTAGAAAGTTCCCCCGCGCCAAATCGTGCAAAAGAGGGGTTGTTCTAACTAGACCACAACATCGGCCCTGTAGCGGACTCGCAATAAACAAAACGGGTTTAAGCTTATAGGCTGAGACGGTGGTAGTGTGGTACCAATACTAAGTTCAAGAAAGGGAAAGAAAGAAAAAAAAGTAAATTGTTTTTCTTATTTTGTTAGAGAGAAAAAGGAAAAAAAAGGAAAAGAAAATGAAAAGAAAAGATTTATTAACATTATTTTCCATTCAAGAAATTTGAAAAGGAAAATAAAAGAAAATGAAGTGGAAAAATATTTTTTTAAAAAATCATCATAAATTAGACTAAAACATAAAAAGAAGTATCAAAATAGAAGTTTCATGTTTTTATTTTCGAAATAGAACTTTGCACTATAGTAATGTAGTTGTAATGTGACATTGTACATGTGCACATTACTATACTTTTTGATAATCTAAATGCATTTTAGCTCCTATTTCGGAAATAAAAACATAGAAGTCATATTTTGGTATTTTTTCAATGTTTCAATCTTACTTTAGTCTTTTTTCCATAGTTTTTCATGTTTGGTTGGAGAAGAAAGTGGAAAGAAAAGAAAATGAAAAGACAAACGTACTAAGTAGAAGAAAAACCAAAATTCTCCCATTTTGGTGAGCAAAATGATAGAAAATCATTTTATTTTTTTTTTCTTTCCAAAATCTTTGAACCAAACATAGTGTAAGAGGAGATAAAATCAATTTCATCCCATTTTGATGAAGAAACTAAGGGAAAGTTGTTTTCTTTTCTTTTATTTTCAAATCCCTTAAACCAAACATGGTTTAAGAGCAAAAACTAGCTAGAAGATACTGGAAAAATAGGAAAAATTGGAATAAACAAGAGCTGAAAAAAACTTAGAAAAAACTAAATGAATTTCAAACAATTATTTAAATGTATTTTACATACAATTCTTATTATAGTTGTTAAAGTTATATGCATATATAGTCCTTGTAGTGTTTCATAAGTGGGTAAATTATTCTCAAACTTTTAAAAATTGTCAAATAGTCAATGTGGTCAAACAATCATAGCATAATTAGTCTCTATATTAGAAAATTCGTAAAGTGAACACAACACACACGTATTATGCCAAGACGTCAATCATGTAACAGTAAAAAATAGCTAATTTGAGATTTCAGTTGTGATGTATAGCTTTGAACCATTATACAATATCTTCCATTTTTTAATTTAACTCTTGCAACTAACTTTTCGTCTCTTCTATAGTGATATTCTTAAATCATAGTACAATGTTCTACATGAGCTCGACATTACTCTATTTTTTAAGTAGTTGTATTCTAAGCTAATATCGTGTGATAAAAGCACTAGAAAAACATCATTACTTACCTTTAACCATGAAGACAAGGGTAATTTCATGAGATAAATTTTTTTTGTTACATGCTTCATATTTTTGCACTGTACGTCCATGGTTTGTGTGTTTTACATTTTTCTTAAAGAAGAGACTAAAATGAAAGAAAAATAATAATGAGTGTGAATCACAAAAAATGACAAGGAAAATAGTAAAAGAAATAAAAATAGACTATAGTAAATCTAGGGGCCTTCGAAATGATGACACCATTTTGACTTCAAATATTAAACTGGCGCACACGGAAAGTAAATCTATGTGACACACATTGACAAACTTTTACTTTCTAGATGTGTTTGTGCAATACTTAGAAGAGTGGGGTCAAAATAGTGTCACCATTTTGGCATCCTCTCGCATTTTTTGGAAAAATATACTTCATTCGTCCACCTAAGATCTTTCGATTACGCGTTACGAAGTTTGGCCGACTTTATTTTCAATTCAATTTAATTGATTATAAGAGTAAATTTTAAAATAAAATTTAGTAATATATAGTAATAAACCACATGAAAAGTTCTACAAAACTAGAGGTGACGCGACTATATTATTTTACGAAATGACTAGTAAAAATAAGCAAACAAAGTGAGTGAAGCTTGACCCTATGAATAATCTCTGGGAAGATCTATGGTGGACAGAGGGATTACTATTTCCTTCGTTTTTTAAAATACTTTCTCTTTTACTTTTTTTATTTTCTCTAAAATATTTCCAATTTTTATTAAAAAATCATTTTTATTTCTACTTTTTCTTACCATACTCATTACATCGTATTTTTTTTAATTAATAATCTACTCATCGCATCTTATTTTTACATATTAAATCAAGAGAAAAATTGGAAAACGAACCACAAATATAAACTTCTTATTTTTCCTAAAAGTAAAAATAGAAACCGTTATATGAAACGGACAAAAATTCAACTCTTTGTTTTTTAAATTGTACGTTTTTATATAATTATTACTTAATTCAATAAATGAAATAACTGATCCCAAAATTTTTACTCTGTATATGCATTCATATACTTAATTCAATATCTTTTACACAATATCTTTTACCACGTCTTTTTCAAATACGAAATATATGCTTACTAATTTTAATCTTTAACTTTATATAGTTACTTAATAAATTAAATTACAAATAATTTTAAATCAATTATTACAATCCCAAATAGTCCTTGTACAAAATATTGTTACTTGTGTAGTTGTGTGGCGCACAAGGCAAAGGCACTTGGTCACGTAACATTAGAGAATTGCACCGATTCCAAGTCAAACTCAAAACCGTCGAATGCACATAGTTTGGGCTCTTCCATAATGTCCTTATTTTATTTCATCTATTGGTTCATATTATTCCGGGAGAAAATTTAATTTATTTCCGTCAATTTGCGTTTCCTTTATCCTAATCCAAATCTGAATAAGAACAGTATGAACATATAAACAAACTTGACAAAACTGCAGAATGAATTCTTCTAAACTGGATAGATCTCCTCCTTAATTCATCAATTTCATTCATAGGTAATCATCATCATAAATCAATAACTAAATTGTCAATTTCTTTTTGCGGTGGCAATAAATTCAAAGCAGAAGTAGGGTTAGGGTTTGCCTTTAGATCTGGACTACATTGTGAACAATCCTTATTATATAAATGTGTTGTGTGTATTGATAATGATCATGTATTCTGTGTTCATGATTTATAATTCTCTAATTATTTGTTTCTTGTTTTATTTTTCTAAAATCTGATGAGTTGTTATTGTTGTGTTGTGGAACATGCAGGTTCTTATTTAATAAAGAGATTTGTTGGAGTTTGATCTGCTTTAGATTACCTGACTGTATCTATTTATTGGATCAAACACGTGTAAGTTCATAATTTCGCTTTTGTCCTGCTTAACTATCTGTTTTTTATTCTGTTTGCAAATTTTCATTCAGAATATGACATTTATTGTTGGTAATGGTTTGTTTTTTTCTGTGTGTTTTTCGATGTAAAAGTAATGATTCTGTCCTAAATTTTCCTTCATTGCATATGATTTCAGTTAGACTATCCTTGATATTGATAACCTTTTACAATATCACCCTGCCTGTTTTATTGGATGCAAAAATTTGTTGATGGTCATGCCATATTTGCTATTGATAATCTTTAATGTTGTAATTTGGAATCATTACTTTCTTTTGGTGAATGATCATTATATGCGTAGAACTAATTAATGGATGTACTATTACACGTCTGATCTGTTATTTTTAACCGGGATTTTTTGGGACTCTACTTTATACTTATGTCTTTTGTTACCGTGCATGATTCTCCATGGAATCTTTAGATGAATTTGCTTCTCATGTGCTGTATTGTACCTGAAATTGTTCCATTTTGCCTAAACAGTTTCCATGGGGACCGAACTTGTTAGACATCACATCAAGGAAGAGACTGCAGACATCTCCATGCTTCCTTCTGGTTTTGATTCACTTGCATCCATGCCTAATAAGGGGAGCAGTAATGAAAATAAAACAATTTGCTCATCCCCTACAAGCAGCTTGCAATTTCAGAGATCCCCGGTAAAATCAGGTTGTAAACCTGAAGGCACGAGAAAAAAGTGTCTAAGACGCCGCCGGTCAGGGTTAAAGTATGGCCGGGTTGATAGCAGTTCAGAAGATGAATCTAACTATGGCCAGGTTGAGACCGCTAAGTAACACTGAGACTTATTCCCTTCAAATTCATCTCTGTTTTTCTATTGTTCTTATTCATTACTTTTGTATGCAGAAATTTTCCTCAAGGCCTAACCCATCCAAAGGGGTTTTCAATGAGTATGGAGATGATGGAAATAACCTAAAGGTCACAGCGCGATGGTGTCCTGAAGGGGCTTGCAGGCCTGATCTTCAGGAAGCTCCAGTGTTCTATCCAACTGAAGAGGTCATTATCTGTCAATTATTTAATTGGTTGCTTGTTTTATCTGACCTTACCATGCACATCTCTTGTTTCTATAAATTACTATTATTACTTGAAGATTTTTAAAAAGTTCTCTAAATTCAAAGGCTCAATTAATTAATTGGTGTCCAGGAATTTGAAGATACTTTAACATATATTGAGAGCATACGGTCCAAAGCAGAAGCATATGGAATTTGCCGTATTGTACCTCCTACCTCATGGAAACCTCCATGTCCCCTCAAGGAGAAGAAGGTATGGGAAGAATCAGAATTTAGCACTCGTATACAAAGGATTGACAAACTTCAGAATCGAGATTCAATAACAAAAAAAGCAAAAGCTAATCATTATAAGAAAAGGAAGAGGAGAAGGTTCACTAAAGCTAACAATACCAAGACCCGCTGCGATGCTGAAAATGACGAGTCTGAGGAGAAATTTGGGTTTGAAACTGGTCCGGACTACACTCTAGATTCATTTCAGAAATATGCTGGTGATTTCAAGGCCCAATACTTTGGAAAGAATGAAGGTAAATGGGAGCCGTCAGTGGAAGATATTGAGGGTGAATATTGGCGCATGATCCTGAAACCCACCGAAGAAGTTGAGGTATCTTTTTCTTCATTCTTTTTGTAGAGTGTTTATAGATTTGATTTTATTTGCTTATGACATTATATAACTCAAAAACTTCATCTGTGCATACCACTTTTTGCTTGCTAGGTTCTTTATGGGGCTGATTTGGAAACTGGAACATTTGGCAGTGGGTTTCCAAAACAAGTACATCAAATCAGCTCTGCTGCTGAGATGAAATACATAAAATCAGGATGGAACTTGAACAACTTCCCAAAACTCCCTGGTTCAGTTCTTTCTTATGAGAGCAGTGATATTTCTGGCGTTCTTGTGCCTTGGCTGTATGTAGGAATGTGTTTTTCTTCATTCTGCTGGGTATGGAACTAATGAAGTTAATAATTATTGCTTGAATTTCACTAGCTACATTGCTTGTTATTTTGCTGGTTTGAAGTTCTTAATGCTCATGTTTGATGTTACAGCATGTTGAAGATCACCATCTGTACTCTTTGAATTACATGCATATGGGATCTCCAAAATTGTGGTATGGTGTTCCTGGGGCAGATGCTTTGAAGCTGGAAGCTGCTATGAAGAAACATTTGCCATCCCTCTTTGATGAACAGCCGGATTTGCTTCATAAGCTTGTGAGAGCATCTATCTGCAGCTTTATACACACACACACACATACATATCCCCAATATCCTCCATTGATTATAATTTAGTTTCTCTCTTCTGTCTTATGTACTTATTTATTGTCCTTTGTCTTCTGTCTATTGTCTTCTGTCTTTGTACTTATTTTAGTCTCAATGAAAAATCAATTTGGTTTGCTCATGTCATTTGACTATATTTATATGAAAGATCTTCCCTTCAACTTTTTTGTTTTTTTATGCAGGTCACACAACTCTCTCCTTCCATACTCAAGTCTGAAGGAGTACCTGTATATCGATGTGTTCAGAACTCTGGGGAATTTGTTCTCACCTTCCCTAGAGCTTATCATGCTGGTTTCAACTGTGGATTCAATTGTGCTGAAGCAGTAAATGTAGCTCCAATGGACTGGTTACCTCATGGACAGAATGCTATAGAGATCTATTCAGGTCAAAGGCGCAGGACGTCCATTTCACACGATAAACTCTTGCTTGGCGCTGCAAGGGATGCTGTCAGAGCACAATGGGAACTTAGTTTACTGAGGAAGAATACTTCAGATAACTTGAGATGGAGAGATGTTTGCGGAAAAGATGGGGTTTTGTCTCATGTGTTAAAGGTGATTGCTTGTTTTTCATGTTATTTTTTCCCTATATATGTCCCGTTTTTTTGGGCCTATATTATTTACGTATTTTTTCAATGAGTTATATCTGAGTCTGCTATTTTGTGTGATATACATATGTAAGTAGTTGGTTATTGCTGAGCATATATGTGTACGGTAAACTCATTGCTTGAGAACCATTTTGGAGTGACTTTGACTCATTTTAACATGATATCATAACTTGGACTGATGGTGTTTTGTGGGGCATTGGCCCATCAATGGGTTGGGACATCCTAGTTGAGGTTGGTTTAAGTTCCTTTGTCCATCCTTTCAGTTGTCCAACTTCATACGAGGCCATAAGGTTTAGCTTTATGCTATGATGTGTGCTAAATATGCAATGAAGACAAGAAAATCATGGTGCTGATAGTTTCTTTCTTTTTTTTGTTAGAGTCGTGTTGATACAGAACGGGTGCGGAGGGAATTTACTTGCAGTTCCTCACAGACATTAAAGATGGAAAGCACTTTCGATGCAACTTGTGAGAGGGAATGCAGCATATGCTTCTTTGATCTGCATCTCTCTGCAGCTGGGTGTCACAACTGCTCACCAAAAAAATATGCATGCTTGAACCACGCAAAACAGCTGTGTTCATGTCCGGATGCTTCCAGATTTTTCCTATTTCGTTACAATATCACCGAGTTAAATCTGTTGGTAGAAGCTTTGGTAGGGAAACTTAGTTCAATATATCGATGGGCAAGGCAAGATCTTGGTCTCTCCATGAGTTCATACCTAAACAACAAAGAGTTAACCAAACCAGTTAACCAAATTCAAGCTGATCATACTTCTGAAAAGTGTCCATCAAACAAAACAGTTGCTACAGAAAGCAAGCCCAGAGTAAGAACTTCTGTTCCTGGGGATGATGATGATGTTATCGTTCTTAGTGATGATGAGAATGAGGAGACTGGGACAACAGTTGTTGGGAATTCTCAAGGGGGTACAAGTTGTGCTCTAGAAAGTTCTGAGGGTTCTCATAGTGCTGAGAAAGTGGATGTAGATGTAAAGTCAAGGTCAATGGATTTTGCACAAGCATCATTACATCCTCAAGTTAATGCTGATGGACGTTTCAGAAAAAAAGGCCCTCGTATTGCTAAAGTGGTGAGAAAAATGAATTGCAATGTTGAAGTTCTTGATTATGGAGTTATTCACCCGGGAAAGTTATGGTGTGATGTTCGTGCTATTTACCCAAAGGGTATGTTCCTTGAACTTGGACTGCTCTTGGAGTCCAATTGAGTTATATACATTCAACATTTAATTGATTAGCTGCTAAGTTTTTTTTTTGTTTTGTGCAGGATTTAGGAGTCGCACCAGATACATAAACGTTTTAGATCCAACCAGCACATGCAATTATGTCTCTGAAATTCTGGATGCTGGACATTATGGACCTTTGTTTATGGTAATTAATAATGTCATGCAATCATAGTTTAGTACACCCTGTGCTGCAAAGATAGGCATTGTCATTACACATGTAGGCAATAGATGTTTAGAGAACAGATGGTTACAAACATTACTTTGAGCTCATAATAATTGTGGCTTTACTTTCAGGTCTCCTTGGAGAATTGTCCGAGTGAAGTATTTATCCAGTTTTCCGCAGTAAAATGTTGGGAAATGGTTCTGGAAAGACTTAACCGACAGATTGCTACACTACGTAAGACAGGAAAAACAAATCTTCCTCCCCTCCAACCTCCTGGAAGCTTCGATGGCTTGGAAATGTTTGGACTTTCTTCTCCGACAATCGTCCAGGTAAGCCCTACAAAGCTTCGATGGCATGGAAATGTTCGGTCTTTCTCAGGCTCATTTATTCAGGAAATTTTTTTGAACCAGCCAAGGTTCTTTGTTAACAGGATGAAATTTATTTTTCCCTGATACATATACACAATGGAAAAACATTTCATCTTTTAAAAAAGAAAAAACTAAGTACAATGACACAAGGCAAACTTATGAAACTGCAATTAAGTGTGTCGACACATAACTTGTTACTGCTTAGTAAACTGAAGTTGTCTTGTAACAGGCAATTCAAGCCCTGGACCATGATAGGGCGTGTTTGGAGTATTGGAATTCACGGCCGTTGGAGGAGATTCAACAAGGGCCTGCTGTGTTTGGGGACGACCAGAAACCAAAACCAGCAGATGAGGGTGATAGTTCATTACTTGGTCTCTTTAAAAAGGCCAGCGACGAAGAACTTGAAGCACTACACCGTCTACTACAAAGCCATCCCTCATCAACCGATCGAGGCTTAGTGGCTCGGCTTCTAAACGACGAGATCCATAGGCCTAAAGGATGATTCTCTATTTTGAAAACATGGGTATAGTTTTTTCTTTATATTTTTTTTTTGTTAAAGATGGGTTTTTTACATAGTAAAATCTGAGCCCCAATTTTGGTCATGGGCCATGCTACACTTACACCAAAAATTGTACACCATTTGTGCACCTCTCATTTATACACAAATATTTTGATGATTTACATCGACATAAATGTGTGCATTAACAAAAATTTACACGGACACAAAGTGTTGGTACGTTAACAAAAATTAATTTTATACCAACACAAAATGTCAGTGCAAATTTGCGTTCTACAAATGGGGTACAAAATTTTGGGGTATAAAAAGCTCTATCCTTCTGGTCAGATATGATGGATTTGCAGCGTAAACCCTCTGAAATGTGAAAAAATCTTACGCTGAAGATCTTCTATTACTGTACAGTGATAAAATAGTGCAGTCAAAATGTTAGACTGCTCAACTCTGTTACTTGTAGAGTTGTAGTCTTGTAGACATCAATCAGTGTATTTGTTTTGGTGGTATAAATGAAAGAAAAAAATTCAGAAGTTATTTTCCCAACTTTTTAATTTTTACCATTTCATATGCAAGGGTGTTAGGATACACTGACAAATTATTTTGTGGACTTAAGATTCATATTCAAGTGAATTTATAGAATAAAGAAGTGAGTCTTTTACAAAATGAAAAATATTCATATGCAAGGCCTTAACTATTTTGAGAAACTTCGTATTTTAAATGTGGATTTTGATTTTTGAGAACTATTGACTATGTGTTTGTGGATTGATCTATAATGGTTAAAATGTACTCGGTATCTATAATACTAGGTATATGGTATACGGAGTAGTATGTAAGTCATAACTTTGATAATACAAAACCTAAAATATTTGCAATAGTGCATTAACATGTAAAATATGTAAGTATAAATAATAAAATACGGAGTACGTAGTAAATACTTAATAGTTCCTTGGTTACATGGAGTGTATGGATGTACATAAGACAACATTAAGGAGCAAACTATTTTGTACTCCAAAATTTGTATCTCATTTGCACATCAAAGTTATTTATCAACATTATAATGGTTCATACCAACACAAAGTATTGATGCGTTAACAAAAATTTACACCGACACAAAGTTTTATTACGTTAACAAAAATTAGTATTACACCAATACAAAATATTAGTACATCCATGCGGTGTACAAAACGGGATACAAATAGCTTCATCCCAACTTTAATCATCACTACAAGTTCACGTGCATTTAGAGCATGGATAATGACAAGTAAGAAATGGAATGTTACAGAATGACATGGAATAATTTTAATTAATCAAAACCAGTCCAATCAGTGTGTGATAAGTGAATGGAGTGATATGCCTTACAGTGGCAAAAACTCCGTGATTTTTTTTGTCAATTTTTACACTTTTTAAACATATTTTAATTAAAAAATTATTTTACTTATCTTTTTTTTTACAAAAATAGATGTACTCATATTTTAAAAAAATATTCTTTTTTTTGTACAGAAAAATAAAAAAATAAAAAAAGAAATATGACACGTGCATTCAATGTTTGGCGGGGTGCAACGGTCTTGCCACTCCACGTCAAGCGAGCGAGAATTTCGGTGATGTGGCTCAGCGAGTCGAGGAGATGCCTCGCCGCTAGCTATGGTTTTGCCAATAAATATACACCTCCCATTCTCCACGCATTTTTAATTTATTTTTATTTACTTATTTTTTAATTTTTTTTTGACTTTTTTAGTGGACAAGGAGGAGGTGAGGGATATATGGGCATATTCCACCCTTGCATTTTTCAAACAAAATTGAGCATATTCCATCGTATACTCCTCCATCTTCCAATTAACTTCACATTTTCCTTTTATGTTTGTTCAAAATAAAGTTCACGCAGCCTAAATACAAAGTAAAATACGGAGTAATAAACTAATAATCATTCAAATAATGAGATTTGGAAATGTAACTAATAATTGTTACAATTCTCGTACGGATTACAACGGACGAGGAAGATGAACGGCCCCGAAAATAAAAATATATAAAATTCTGAATTTATAATTTATTCAAAATATTACAAAATAAACAAAGTTGAAAATAAATTTAAATATCTTCAACTGGCCTTGTTGTACGAGATCATTAAGCACTGGACAGTGAGGTCTTTAAGCACTGGACATCGAGGTCTTTAAGCATTGGACAGCAACTCGAGAACGTTATGCACAGGATTGCGAGGACATTATGCACTGGGCTGCGAGGACATTATGCACTGGGCTGCGAGGACATTATGCACTAGGACAGAATGCAGCGAGGTCTTTATCAACTAGTCCTGCGAAAATACCACGGAAGGACAGCGGAGTCGCCGGAGTTGTCCTTAAGGTAGTAGTGTCCGCCTACCGTACTGGAAAACGTGGGCACTCTCCTCCCAGAATAAAACCGCTATCGTGTGTGGAGATTGTACGGACCAACCACACACCAACGAACAAGAACAACATAGGAATGTTGACGACCGGAAAAAATGAAGGCAATCGCCGAAAAAATTGGCAAGAAAACCAAAAGCTTTCCTCAAAGTTAAACAAGATAATAGTAATTTAAAAAGATTCCTAAAGCAATTAGACGGAATTGAAATATGTTAAAGTAAGCTTTGATTGAGATTAAGGCTATTTTTTAGTTTTCGAAAAATTAATACTCCGTATAGTTTAATAATTAGAGAAATGCAAGATTTTACAAATAAAATGATCACAAAATTTACAAACTTAGCATTTAAGGTTATAGAAAATTCTCATTTTAAATTTATTCCAAAGTACTTTAATTTTTATTGGAATTCACAAACTGGTTTATAATAAAATTCAAAATTTACTATATTTGACTTTTCTATTTGTGAACCAAACATTTCCCCAATTTAATTTAGGATGAAGAGAGTAAGAATTTGTCTTCCAAGAGACTCTTGTTCAAGCAAGAGTTACAATCAAATTGATATGCTCCATTGCTCCCTTTGTCTCAAAATAATTAGGAGTACTTATTTACTACAGAGTATTACAATGTTTCAATTGCTTTGGTTTTCAACATATGTCATTGATCATTCATAATATAAAATATTTTTGTTATCTCTTATTATCAAAACATTTGGGAACAATCTTTAAATATACGGAGTATAAGTTTTTTCTATATCAATTTATAAATAAAAATATTTTAAAAATAACAGGATCTGTATGCATTTCAAAATTGACTTATGAACGAAAGGAATATCTATTAAAAAAAGAATCTGTTTTTGATGTAAACGAGGGAAAAATTAAATAAGCAAACAAATTTCTTTTGTAAGAAGAGTTAAGATTTTTTTGAAACAAATGAAAAAGAAAGAATCATGCTACTTGTACACCACACTTGTACATTATTTTGTACACCAAATGTTTGAAGTAGCACAAAATATATGGAGTACTTAAAAGAGCAATGTTAGAGGTACACCAAAGGTGTATTCCATTTGTCACTCCACCCTCTTCTTCACCACTCATTATTATTTAATTTTTTATTTAATTTTTTTAAAAAGTATTTGTTCATTTATGTGGTGGAGGAGCGGTGCGGGACAAATGGGGTACACCTGTACCCTTAGCATTTTTCTACTTAAAACAGTGACATAATGCTTGTTTTCAAGTTACGTTCTATCCTATCCTATATGTCCTATATGTATATCTAAAAGAGAGTAAGAGTTGTAGTGTTGATATGGGTCCTGTGATGTGGCTAATATTAATTCACGTGGCAGCCACGCATGCATACTCCTAACATGTGTCCGCCAAATGTACCAATCCTTCCTATATGTATATATAAAAGAGAATTCAAGAGTTCTGATCTAGTGTTGAAAAGTGTCCTGTGATGTGGCCAATATTAATTCACGTGACCGCCATGCATGCTTACTTCTGACATATGTTCGCTAAATGTACCAATATTAATTTTTTTTATAAATTTTCTTCACTTTCCAACAATAAATAACCATTTTTATAAACTTTTTATAAAGTTTTCACTATCTCAAAATTTGAAGTGCAAAATGCAATCTGAGCCGCACGATGCATCAAATCCAAAGGCTAAATTTTATTCTTATTTCTTTCACCAAGGTGCATTTTCACTTGAACCAGCTCCTATATATATGTGCGTGTGTGTGTGATTATTAAAAAATTTAAAACAAACACTATTTTATTTTTATATGTTAAAACTTGGAATATATGTGAATCCCTGCGGAGCATGGAGTTGATACTAGTTTCATGTAATTGAAAACATTATTAGTTTAAAAATAGAGTAAAGCTAGAGGTACACTAATTAATATTGTGCCCTATTTATACACCATCATTTTATAAAGCACTGGAAATACTCATGAAACTCGAGGCTTCAGATTAGGGCTTCAAAATTTCTTTCTCTACTACATTAGCTTTAATTCATCTCACAAATTCGGTGAAAATGAGTTTGAAACCCCGGGGCTTAAAACAAGGGCTTGCATAAGACACTAAAGAAATTTCTAATCATTCGAGTGATAAAAAATATGTTTATTCAAACCCGAGTTGTAGTAACATATTGCAAATTGAAATAATTCATTAAATAAAAAATATATTCAATAAAAAAGTATGTTAAATTTAAGAAAAACAAAAAAATCATTACTGATAGGAAATTTAAACAAAAAAAATATTACATTAAATAAAAACATATAGAGTAAAAAAATTATGTTTGTGTATGTTTTTTTAGAGAGAGAGAATATAAAGATTTGAAATCCGTTAGAGCTTGAAGCACAAGGGATGAAGCCCAGAGGAGGAAGTGTTTGCAACCCTTTGGCCTTAAAAGGGACAATAACACCCAAGCGTTATGCCCATTACTAGAGCTCTTAGTACTCCCTACGTCACTAAATAGATTACAAATTGTGAATTATGAATAAAATTTTTCTACTTTTTGAAATTATTGTATTTATTAATTAGTATATCAATAAGATATAAAATATAGATTTTAAAAAACTACGTCAAAAGTTTTACTCCCTCCGTCCCCCAGTTTTTGACTATTTTTGACTTTTAGAACTGTTCATCTAAGCACTTTGATTCATCAAAATACTCTCAATGTATAAGCATAAATATATTCATGTGTGATCTTGTTTGATTTTTCTTAACACATACTTCCTCCGTCCATAAATAAAGTTTCTCTTTCGTTTTTTCTTAATCCCTAAATAAAGTTCTATTTTCCCTCAAAAACTCCCTTTTACCCCTTACTTTTTCATACCCTACCTATCACATCATACCTTTTTACTAATAATCTACCTATCACATCTTACTTTAACACATCACATCAAGGATATTTTTGGGAAGTCAACACAAAAATATCTCTCTCCTAAATCTTCAAAAAGTCAAAAATGGAACATTCTTTAGAGACGGAGAAAGTAGATTATTACGGAGTAATATATAATTTCTATAATAAAAATGATGTGTAAAAATGAAAATTGATAAATATTCTCAGAGGGGAGTACAAAATAAGAAGTGATAAAAATATTTTATTTTATCAAATATTTAATGAAATCGGGCAAACAAACAAATTGAGTACTGGTATGTAGCCTTTTAGATCTATTGCTTTGTTTTTAAAAAAATTAATCTAATTTTATTTGGTTGCTTAATGCTCCATTCAGAATTTAGTAACCTATTTGGATTCTTAATGTCCACTTTTATTGAATTTTATTTTACCTGAATAACTCCATTCAAGGGCTGAATGGAAGCATGGAGAAGTTGGGTTTAGATCTTCACACTCTTACTGAGCGGCTTGAGTGGTTCAACCCGGACCCTCAAGCCGATATCTTTGATCCAGACAACTCCAGAGTCCTGTTCAAGCTAGGGAGAGAGAAAGACAAAATCAATGAAAATCATTTGAAGAAAATTGTCCGTGCAGAATCTGCAATGACTGCTCAACCTAGTGTTATGGCGCAAGTGTTGGTAATTCTTGCATCCCTCTCTGCTGCCTCGATTTTCTCTAACTACGTGGCGAACAAGGTGGTAATATGGTTGTTCTTTTCCGTTATATGTTGCGTTAATGTGTCTTTTTATATGGATATCTATGTGTGTTATTCAAAGCTGAGAGCCATTTCTCAAGAAATTGAAACCCTTCTTCTAAAGAATAAAACTTTCAAAGCAAAGGGGAATGCGTTCGGTTTGCTGTCATCATTAATATTCAATGACACTGAAAACCTGCAGTCACCAGGGGCACCGCGGACGAAAGCGAAGTTAGAAAACTTCATAAAAGAAATTGACACTGTTGAAAATATCACTGGATATTGCTATACTGAATTGGTTCTGAGGACATTGTTTCCATTGTGCAAGCAGTGGTGCTCATCATGATGATCCTTACCACGATCGTAATGGTGCGATAGCGGTTGCTCACTCTCCACTGCCTACATGAAGGGTTTTTAAATTTTGTTGTGTGCTATCAATTGACAAAATTTGAAAACCCTTCACGTGGGCAGAGGAGAGTGAGCAACTGTCGTCGACATGGTCATAGGTGCAGTGAGGAAGTAGTGGCAAACCAGCCAATAGGTACTCTGCGAATGCAAGGATCATAACACCAGATGCGTTTCCACACAAGCATTGTGTTCAAACATCGGCATAAAATTATTATCCCACAAACACTCCATTCTAAGACTTTGATTGGTGCATGTGAAGTAATACACATCGTTTTCCTTGGGCCTTTCCCATGGTTGCACGTTTTGACTTACAGTAACACCTACGTCGGTGTGGATGCTTGTTCTTCTCGTAACACAGTTTCCCCAATTGTTCTTGAGTGTCTTTAGTTGTCGAGTTCTTTTTTCCAAAGCTCGTCTATATGCATATGCAAAATAAATAAAAGTGTCATTCCCTAAGATGTCAATGTATGCAATGACAATAATGTTGCACAAGCATAACCTAGAAGTGTGAAATGAAATAGGCATCACATAGACACTAATTGTAGGTGCATAGAAGACATTCAAATACACCGAGACAAATTGTGCGAGTGACAAACATGTCCAATAAAAATTAAAGGTAGAAAATAACTATAAATATAAGTTCCTAAAATGGGACAAAAGGTTTTTAATACACATGAAAAATGACTAATGGTAACTTCAAACTAACATCATGCGTTGGTGCAAACCTCTGCCCTCATATATGCACAAGCATAATCTGCTGGTGCAAAACGAGTTGAAAACAGCAGACAAAAGGTTTTTAATACACATGAAAAATGACTAATGGTAACTTCAAACTAGCATTATGCGTTGGTGCAAACCTCTGCCCTCATATACGCACAAGCATAATCTGCTGGTGCAAAACGAGTTCAAAACAGCAGACATTGGTAGCAAAGTCTACACCTGCGACTCTTAATCAATTAATGGCAGACACATTTCAATTAAAGGAAAATTAAAATTGAAATTAAAACTGAAATTCCAATTAAACACGATAATTTGAGCATTAAAGTTACCGAGAATTTAAAATGGAACAAAATCACATGAGTACTAAATGTAGGTGCACAAAATATAAACATATATAACCAGACATTTGGTGTCAATGAAAAATATGTCCACACTTCTATAAATGCGAAAATATACTTCCTGTAATATACACACTTGACTTTTGAAAATTAGTATTTACAAATAAATTCATACAAAATTATTGTCTAAATTTTGAAATACATTCCATTTGAGGTGACAATCTTGCATCTCTTCTTTAAAAAAAATCTTTCAATCTTAACTTGAAATTCCAATTAAACATGATCATTGAAAGGTAATTTAAACATATTTACCGAGAACTCTTGAGAAAAAGAGACGTCAACGAGAGAAGCTGTCGGACTTGCCGATTGGTCCAGTGTTCTCTTCTACCTCAAGTATTGAAATTCCTCTCTCCATGGCCCAATTATAGATCTTCATCGGCCAGGTTATATATGTGTCGTCGGACCGTCAGAGAAAGAGGTTGGAAATTGTAGCCACAACAGTTGTGGTCGGAGATTGAAGTGGAGAGAAAAAGCTAGAAGTGGAAAAGAGAGGGAGAGAGTGAGAGTAACGTGGGGGGATTGGGTGGGTAATGGAGGAGTGAGAATAGCGTGAGGGTGAGTGGGTAATGGGGGGTATTTTATCTGGGGTACAAAATGGGGTATGAAATGGGGTGTAAGTAGCATTTTCCAAAATATTTTGTAGGGATACTCTATTCGTAGTCCTCCAACTCTACCAAAAAAATACAAAAAAGAAAAAAAATTAAAAATGAAAAAAAATCAATAGTTTTAATTAATGGTATCTTGTGTTTGTCCATTTTTTATTTTAGGAACTATTAATCTAAGCACTTTGACTCATCAAATACTCTCTATGTGTAAGCCTAAAAATAGTCATGTGTGATTTTATTTGATTCGTCTTAACATATAGATTATTAATATATAATTTTTATAATTTTTTAATATATAAATTACAAGATAAAATAGATTAAAATGTGCATTGGAGGGAGTAATGTTTAAATACTACATTCGTCCTAGTGTATTTGTCTGTTTTTTTCAAATCAAACTTGATAAATTTTGAATTCCAATTACCCTTAATTTGTATTGCGTGTTGACATAATGAAATATAATTTTGAAAGTTCTGAATACGAAAAATTCAATAAAGTCATTTTTATGTTAAAATATACTTCGTATTACAATTTTTATTTAATTGAAACTCAAAGTTTTTCTAATTTGATTCTAAAAAAGTCAAACCAGATAAATACACTGAGACGATGAGAGTATGTAAGTTGTACTTTTATTTATATACGAAATTATAAATAATTTACTTCAAAATTTGAAATAAATTTGAAAGAGTTACTTCCTCTGTCCCTAAATATTTGCAAACTTAAATTATCTAGGTAAAATACCAAGTTTTTTCAATTTATTTTATTTATATATTCGTATAGGATTAAAAATAAATTTATATATAAAAAAACTATATGAAAAATTATTTAAATAAAAGATATTAATAATATTTATTTTTATCAAATAACCAATAAAAACGTAAAAATAAATAAAAAGTTTCCACAACTGCTGAAAAAACATATGGTGCTATAATTTTATACGTTATCAAAATAAAAGCAAGTGGCCATTTAATATGAGATTCTCCGTACATATTTCATGGGTATATAAACTATCCGTAGACGTATTCAGTATTTCAGTAGCTCGCCAACATACGCTATTCTCTCAAAATAATTTTGTTTTACTGTTGCCATATAAAAAGAATGAGAGACTTAGGGCTAGTCACCCTAGCCGCCACCTCCCCCTCCCACACTGTTCGAATCACTTCCTCTCCCCCACCGTCACTTCCGCTCCTTTCAATATGGTTTCCACGGGTGACCACTCTGGCTCCACCAGTGGGGGAGGTCCAGGAGAGTCCTCTATTCCGTTTCAGGACTCTGCTCTTCCGCTGCCCTCCATCCTGGATTCTGCTGTCATCAATGGTAAACCTTCCATGATAAATCCATCCTTTTTAAGTTTCTCGTTTCTTTTAGATCTTTAATTTCAATTTCTTTTTTTTTTTTTTGCAGAGATCAAACTTCTCAAAACATCTATTCAAGGGTTGAACACCACCCTTGAGAACACTGGTATGTAGCCTCTTAGATCTGTTGCTTTGTTTTTTTTAAAAGTGAATCTAATTTTATTTGGATGTTTAATAATCCTCCATTCAGAATTTAATAATTCATTTGGATTCTTAATGTCCAATTTTATTGGTTTTCATTTTTCCTTCATTTTCAGAGTTTTTGAACCTAAACTCTACCATTGAGGGGCTTAAATCCTCCGTTCAAGGGCTGAACACCTTCATTCAACCCTTGAATGGAGGGGGGCAACAGCAGCGGCAACTTAACCGGAATCGATCCAGTCCTCGGTCCACAAGGTCTCTCTTATTTGGTCCGGATCTAATCGGGTCCAGTCTGGGTTTGTTCCGAACACTATTGAAAGGAAAGGATTGTGTTAGAGATCAAAATCCCTCGAAGGCAATTGTTTATTAGATCTAATACGGAGTATTATTATACTGCGACTGATAAAGAAGAAATATAGACTTTAAAAATTGGCATTAAAAGCATGCAACCTCAAAATCAATTAACCTAAACACGATAACTGCATATTAATTAAGCTAAACATGGAAATGTCCAGATCCAACAAGTCAACAACAATAAAAAACAAATTGACAACCCATAACAAAAATTGTAAATCCTTCACGTAGGCACTCGAGGGGGGCAACAGCAGCGGCAACTTTATGGTGAGTAGTAACGATCAACACAATAAGAACAACAGCCTACACAGTAGAAAGGAATGTTGTTAGAACAAGCTCCACATAGCAAGGGATAGTGACGTTCTCAACAGAGTCCATTTCTTTCTTGAAGGTCTGAAGCTTTGCAACAATCTGCTCTCTCCTCTGCTCCGCCTCGGGAGATTGTGGGTTCTCCGTGTCATTGGACCGCTTTCTTGATACCATCTCCTCAAATGTCTTAAGCTTAGTTTTGAAGCTGTCCTTCTTCACAAGGAGGAATCCAATCCCAGGCCTGTCTTAACCGGAATCGATCCAGTCCTCGGTGCACAAGGTTTCTCTTATTTGGTCCGGATCTAATCGGGTCCAGTCTGAGTTTGTTCCGAACACTACTGAAAGGAAAGGATTGTGTTAGAGATCAAAATCCGTTGAATGGAAGTGCAGAGAAGCTCTGTTCAGATCTGAACCCAAGTAAGTATTTTTTTGCTCTCTTGAAAATTATTAGGACCAATGTAGAGATTTTATTACACAAAAAAGAAAGTATTACACCACATAATTCACTGTCTACAAACAAAAAAACCCCAAACTTTTTATATTCCATTTTTTATATCCACTCCAACTATGTCTTTTATTAATACACCTTTATCTTATTTTATTATTTTTAGTTTTTTAATTGTGATAACGTATATAGTTTTAAAAATTCTGATGACATATGCGGAGTAGATTTTAAACTATTGTTATCGAGTTTTAAGAAACAAGAAAAAAAATTAGTTAAAAAAGTAAAATGTACTGCAACATTTTAGTAAAAATTATTTATAAGAGTATTTGAAAGAGTACTATTAATTTACTAACGGTTAAATATTTTAAATAAATTATACTCCGTATTTGATAAGAAAAATAATTAAAACTCCAGAACATTCCTAAGCTACTGCCTTAGACTTTCAAGTTATATTATTTTAATGTACATTCTTAATTCGTAGTTGACATAATTAGTGGCCACCACTTGTGTAGATGTTCAATATTCTTCTTTCTTCTCTCTTTTGTTCTCCTTGGCTATCTCAGTTTATCTCTCTGTTTTTTTCCCCCAGAATTTCAAGAATTGAACAGCTCCATTCAAACTGTTACTCAACGGTTAGAATGGTTTGACCCCGATCTGCAGGCAGATATCAATGATCCCGACATCTCAAGAGTTGTATCCAAGCTGGGGAAGGAGAAAGAGAAGATGAAAGACGACTTCCTGAAGAAGCTTGCCCGGGCAGAAGCTGCCATGTCCGCGGTTCGTAGCATGATGGCACAGGTTTTGGTCATATTGGCATCGCTCTCCACCGCAACACTTTCCTCGAACAATCTCGCGGGGAAAGTGGTAATTTGGCTCTTTGTGCCTGTTATTAGTGGTGTGAAATTGTCATTCTATTTGGCGGTATATGGATGCTACATAAGGCTTAAAGCTATCAGTCTAGAAGTCCAGGGCCTCCTTGTGAAGAAGGAGAGCTTCAAAACTAAGCTTAAGACATTTGAGGAGATGGTATCAAGAAAGCGGTCTAATGACACGGAGAACCCACAATCTCCCGAGGCGGAGCAGAGGAGAGAGCAGATTGTTGCAAAGCTTCAGACCTTCAAGAAAGAAATGGACTCTGTTGAGAACGTCACTATCCCTTGCTATGTGGAGCTTGTTCTAACAACATTCCTTTCTACTGTGCAGGCTGTTGTTCTTATTGTGTTGATCGTTACTACTCACCATAAAGTTGCCGCTGCTGTTGCCCCCCCTCGAGTGCCTACGTGAAGGATTTACAATTTTTATTATGGGTTGTCAATTTGTTTTTTATTGTTGTTGACTTGTTGGATCTGGACATTTCCATGTTTAGCTTAATTAATATGCAGTTATCGTGTTTAGGTTAATTGATTTTGAGGTTGCATGCTTTTAATGCCACTTTTTAAAGTCTATATTTCTTCTTTATCAGTCGCAGTATAATAATACTCTGTATTAGATCTCATAAACAATTGCCTTCGAGGGATTTTGATCTCTAACACAATCCTTTCCTTTCAGTAGTGTTCGGAACAAACCCAGACTGGACCCGATTAGATCCGGACCAAATAAGAGAGACCTTGTGGACCGAGGACTGGATCGATTCCAGTTAAGACAGGCCTGGGATTGGACCGGTAAAATCCTGACCGGACCGAATAAAAGTGGTTTTTTTAAATTTGATTTTGTTTATTTAATTTAATGTATTTAATTCTATAAAAGTATTACTCCGTACTATAATTAATTTTTAAAGTATATACACTAAACATTTTCAAATATTGATGTTCTTAATTTTTTAAAAACTATAAAAAATATATATCCTCCATCTAAATTACATGAAATTTGTTTGTAATTTTTATTTTACATATGGAAAATTCTAATTACTCTTTTTATACTTTTTATAATATATTTTTAGGCATTGATATTTGAGCTCCACTATTTGATAGGATTATTCCGCCCTTGTAATATTTTACAAACATGGGCAGTCATACCTTTTAATTTGGAGTACGAAGTAGAGTAGTGTTTTTGGTTTCCATTCTACATTGCTATATTTTGAGTCAATGACTACATTCCGCAATATTCTATAAATATTTATAAATGAATTTTTCTTTTTTTAAATAAAATAATCTTTTCCTGTTATATAATTACATATTATAAAAAGATAAAATGGAGTAACATGCAAAATATTTTTATGGAGCAACGCTCTTAAATTAATGATAAAGCGTGATATATTCTTTTTTGCTTATTTAGTGACTAAATAAAAAGATTGTTTTCAATTAAAATAATATTCTCAAATGCACTACTTTTATGATGTACTACGTATATACTCAAAGTGTGTAAAAGAAATGAATGTGTGAAATGATCACTGTATAACTGGTAAATATGTTTGGCAAAAATAAAATGAAACCATAAATCCAAATTTAAGATATATGACATCTCAAAATTTTGATATGGTCACCTTTTCCTTTATTTAATTTAAATCGTCACTTTTTTGTCACTTTCTTCATTTATTTTGTTAAGTCTTTGATAAAATAATATACTCATGTTATCACTTATTTTATAAAACATTTAATGTAGTTTTAAACATGTAATTTAATTCATTTTTAATTTTACCCAATTGTTTTATAAATTGAATTAAAAATAATAATTTCACAAGCCATATAATTGAAATGGGATGGAAGGAGTATTATTTTTGGAAAATGAGTTAGTTACATAAAAAAACTAAAAGAAAAAATGGGTCGGGGGAGTAGTATAAGAAAAACAATAGTGCGACATAAAAAATTAAAAAGAGATAAAAGTTAAAATAAATGAAGGATAAATTATTTTAATAAAAATATGAAATTTCACAAATATAATATTTATTTCCAAAACTTTTAATTTTTCTCAACATTTTTAATTTATTGAAGTTTTTTCCAACTCTTTCAAATTTGATCAATGTCTTTTAATTTTTCGAACTCTTTTCAATTTTTTCCAATACTTTTTTTTTTTGCATTTCAAAAGATCAAGATCTTATTATTGGTGTTGCTTGGAATAATCGGTACTTTGTAAGGGGTTTACAATTAATAAGAGGGAGAAAATTATTAATACGAAAAATACTCGTTCAACCAGGAGGGGCATGGCTATCCATGTTTGAAAAAGATTAAAAGGGTGGAGCGCCGGAAGTAAATGATGGAGCGTATATATCAACTTCCATTTTGTGTTTTTGGTTTCTATTGGCAAAGGATACATTTTTTTACTGTTTTTTGTTCATGAGGTTGTTTACAATATTTTTTATTAGAGTTTTATTACTGATAAAGTACAAACTTAAGTTATGATATTGGTACGTAAATTTGAAATGCCTTAGATCACTAATACAAAGGTAATGTTTACTTTTTTCACACTTGTAATGTTAAAATATTTAAATATCATTAGAATTGGTATCTTATTTTGAATTGGAATATTTATAAAAAAATTATATTGGATAATATAAAATCAAAACATTTAAAAAACTTTTAGTATTAAAGTAAAAGTAATTTTAAGTATAAGAAAAAAACTTTAAAAAACTATATAGAAACTAATATTTATTAAAAAGAATGTAACCGGTCCACCGGTCCGGACCGAATCCCCGTGGACCGGAGCGGACCGGAACCCGAATAAGGAAAATGTGAGGACCGAAGATCGGACCGAATAAGGACTGGTTCAGACCGGTTCGGTTCTGTGTTGGCCATATTTCAAGTCAGTCCAGGTTCGAACCAAATAATGCACACCCTTACCTTTCACTTAGGGCCTTGCTTAACCCTTTGAATTTTTATTCTTGAATAACACACTTTTTTTAAATATAAATACACTAGATTTGAATCTGGACGTTTCATTCTTAGAAAAGTATTCCGAGTTACTTTATACTTTCTACATTAACATAGTATGATTCCTATCATAGCCATGGCCGACCCTGAAAAATGAAAAAATAAATTTAGAGCCTTAAAATTTTAAGGACCCTGTGTAATTGGCTACTTTGCACACCATCCGAGACACCCATGATCATAGCGGCCAGGTTCTTTGACCGGTAAGTAGGGGTCACTTTTCGGGTGTTCGGGAGCAATGTTTCCAAAACTTTTTTTATACATGCAATGTGAAACTTTAAAAAAAAATACGGATAATAAATTTACCCTCAAACAATTACTCCGTATTTAAATAGTAAAAAAATCAATTTTTTTAATTTAATGCCAATATTATAAATTAGTTTAATTACTATACTACTCCATATATTTTTAGTGCATTACTTTAGAATTTATCTTTGGACTTTTAAATATTTCACTTTAAAATTATTTTCTTTTAATGTTTAAATATTCAAGTTCTCTCATTCTTTTCTTACTCAAAACTATTAATTGGGGTCTCTAATGCTTTTAATTGGATCTCTAATATTTTTAGTTGGGGTCATAAATTACATTATTCTAAGAAACATGAAAAAAATTAAGTATCACAATATATATGATTTAAAAAACTTAAAAATTAGTAGGGGGCCATTGCCCCCAACTACTATTATATGGATCCGCGCCCCAGTCCTTCCAATATCATAATGCTGATCAAAGTTGATTTATAAGAGTTTTAGGATATACAAAAATTAAAATGTACTTTCAAATATGCTCTTTTAAATAAAAATACAATACATGTTAAATGTAAATATCTAAACTCAAAGACTTGTTTGGATGAGGGGATAAAATGAGAGGTAAGAAACAAAAAAAAATTGGAAAGAAAATGATAAGGAAATAATAGTTTGAGTGAAGAGAAAATGAGAAAAAGGAAAATGTCATAAAATTAAATTATTGTAATAATATATTATGCATGGTATTATGGATGGTATCAAAAAGTATTTTGATAAGAATAAGAAGAAAAGTTGAATTTTGAACGTAAAATACTCTTTGTATTACTTCTAAATTCCGTACTAAATATTTATATAGAGAAAAGTATGATATGACTTGAATTTGAAATATGGATTCAAAGAAGTTTATGAGATACAAATAAATAAAACTTATATTTTCTAAAATTAATGAATGATTTTTGGTACGTGAACCACTGCACGGATCACAAGGTTTCATAGGGTTAACCAGTACCCCTCCATTGTCGTACGTACAAGCAGTGGCGGACCTAGACTACCCAATGAGCGGTGTCAAGAGTAAAAGATCGAGAACTTCTCAGGCGGAATATATAAGCATGATAAAGAGTTAGAGAGTAACGTCTCTAAATTTTCTTTAGAAACATAATAAGAAATAACAAAAAAGTATCAAACTGATAAATTTTATCTTTAATATTAAAATAATTAAAATAAAATAATTAAATGACATTATTATTAATTATAAAAATGATAAAAAATGATCACAGTAGAAAATATTGAAGTTAATACACATTGCACCAGTAGATACCTAATTTTTTAAACACAATAAAAAGTGACAAAAAAATTATGGAGTAATAAATATTTTTCAAATATTCAAATAATTCAAAATAACATAATTATGGAATAGAAAGTATTATTATTAATTATATAAAAAATTATTGTCAATACCTAATACTGTTTTTTAAAAAATTCAGCGGTGTCGGTTGACACCGCCAGACCCCCCCTAGGTCCGCCACTGCGTACAAGCTCATCATAATGGACTTGTCGTGTACGTTAAGTACTCAAAGTCCCAGTTACATAATTGACTTGTCTTGTACGTTAAGTACTTGAAATCCTAGTGAAACCAGAATAAAACAGAGTAAAGAAAAAAGTTCAAATACGAAAATATTACACCTATATGTAGTACTGAAATAAAAATGATTTGATATTATCAAAGTAAAGAATTTGAGAAAAGTATATATTTATGCTATTATATTTTGCACCTATTATTATAATTGGTATCACTCAACTTTTGCTGATCGGATTGGCTGGCAACATTTTTAGGTACACAGACAAAATAGTGACTGAACAAGAGGGCAATTCCAAGGTGATGGAAGGATGAACGAGATGACATAACAAACGATATTAGTAATAAAGATGTTATTTAGAAATATATATTTTGTGCGAATATGTTAAGTTTTCGCATATGTAATAGTTACTTCGATATTAATAAATATTATTATGTTTAATACTCTATTTTTCGATTCAAAAAGTTAGACCTGCTCACACTACAAGTCAGATATTCGAATAAATTTGGGTATCCAGGCGTTACAAAACCAAACGTAATTGAGCTAATAGAAGAGACACGAGAATACATTCTATTCATATATTCATTCATTATCACACTCTAATTCGGTTTAGTTATAGTTATTAAGCTAAATCTCATCAAAAATTAAAGCATATATTTGAGTAACTGCAATAGACATTAAAATTCACTATAAAACTAAAAAACCTT